TGCCAGGGGGAGGGGATGAAATGAGGCCCAGAGGACAGCAGAAGCCACACCCTGCGGGGCTTGGCTATCGTGAGGCCTTGGCTTTTATAGGTATTATCTAACTTGCCTTTTCTAAAGACCCATCCAGCTGGAGACAGAGAATGGCTTTCAAGCTGTCAGTCCATTTGGGCTACAATAACAATATTATAGACTGGCTGGCTTAAAAACAACAGAAACATTATTTCTCACAGTACTGGGAGCTAGGAATTCCAAGACCAAGGTGCTGATTTGGAGTCTGGTAAGAGCCCACATCCTAGTTCCCAGACAGCTGCCTTCTCACTATGTCCCCACATGGTAGAAGGGGAGAGGGAGTTCTCTGGAATCTCTCTGATAAGGGCACTCATCTCATTCATGAAACTCCACCCTTATGACCTAATCATGTTCTAGAGATTCCCACCTCCAAATAACCTCAAATTGGGAATTAGATTTCAACACGGATTTGGGGACACAAACATTCCGTCTGTAGCAGAAAGACATCTATTTAATGAAGAGAAGTGGACACAAACATTAAGAAAACATCAGTCTGGTCCTCAAGTGGGGTCTTGCTTCTGGAAAGAACATGGGTCAGGCACCCAATAGATCTGAGTTCAGATCCCAGCTTCTTCATTTTTCTGTGCTATGGCGCCAGGCAACTTCTCTGAGCTTTGTTTTTCTCTCTTGAAAATGGGGAAAATAACACACACTGTGGGTTTCTTGGATAAATTAGATAGAGAAATGGATGTGGAATGTCTGGTGCTATACATAACACCCGGGAGGTGATCAGACACGCACACACACACATCCCTTTACCCACACATCCCTTTACAAAGTGGGGAAGGACAGATATAGGCACAATTTATAAACACAAAGTAGGTAGGGCTGAAAGCAGCACTAAAGGATCCAGGTCATGGAGGCCTTGAATGCCAATCTCTAGCACATGAACATCGATGAGCAGTGGGAGCCAGTGAGGGTTTCTGAGCAGGGGAGGATTATGGACAGAGCATCCTTTTAGGAGGAAGATAATTATGACAGCCAGGAAAAGGGGGAAGATGGAAGGAAACTGTGCTTTCCTTCTTCCAGCCCCTGAAATGTAACTTCGCTCAAGCTCCTCCCCACCCCCAAAGCTCTGCCCTGCAGCCTGGGCATCTGCAACTTTGCTCTAAGGCCCACCTCCTTCCAGCCCATGATCTAGTTCACAGGACCACATGTGCCTGGCCGCTGAGCATTTGTAGGTTCGGCTGTGTTCATTGTGAGCATCTTGCTGTGCCAGTCAATCAGCCAACAGTCTCAGAGGGACGAATCTCTTTTCAATGTCCCCTGCCTTTGTTCTGGAAAGAGGCCTGATTCCATCTCAGATGGTTGATGAGGAGAGGTAAAAAAAAGGAGCAGGGCCTCAGCTCCCTGGGCCTGGCTGTCCATCCTGGAGACTTGGGATTTGGGAGAAGTACAGCCTGACAGTCAGGCAGACATCAAAAATCACAAAAAGATCAGAGCCTAATTCAGGCTGATGGACTCAACGCCCCTTGGATGTGTAGCCCTCCTCCCAAATAAACCTGCCATATGGAATTCTGCGGTCTGTCAGCTTCAGCATTGATTTTCTATGGTCTGCAGCTCTCGAGCTTGCAAAATGCACTTCTAGAACAGAAATTCAGAAGAATAAAATCAGCTAAGGCAGCAAAATTACCTTTTTCTCTGCCCTGTTCTCTTCACACCCCGATCAAGGGAAATGCCAGGGTTCCCAGGAGTGTGGACACAGTGAAGCTTGGTGTGAAGAGGTCTCTGGGGAATGGGTAGGGACAAAAGCAAGCCCAGCCCTGGAGAGAACTTAGGTTAGAGTTAAGGAGATGGAGATGGATTCATTCATCCCACAGGCATTTCCTCGAGGCCTCTCAATGTTAGTCTGTGCCAGATGCTGGGGGACTTGAAACAAATTAGACCCGTTCCAGCTCCTTGGGGTCTCAGAGTCTGGCAAAAGAATCAGATCTATAAAAAGGTAATAATAGCTATGACAAGGCACAGTGATAGCTGCAGGAGGGGTGGGAAAGCAATTATATATCTGGGATGGAGGGCTTCCTGGAGGAAGTGACATCCAAGCTGGGCTTTGAAGGCTGAATAAGAGGTTACTGGCAGACAGGGTGGGGAAATGAATCGCTTACCCTAAGATATACGGATAGGAAAAAACAGAATATATTTCCTCCTGGAGCTCACAAGTCATTTCTATTTTGGGGATGTGGGGAGAACAGAGGCAACTGGTGGGAGCTGAGATTGGACACAAAATCAGGGGCTAAAAAGAGGATCAGGACTGGGAAAGAGTAGATGTAGTTCATGGCAGAGTTAGTATTAAAATTAGGTTTGAGATTTGGATGCACTTAAAGGGAGACGTTCAGCTGTCTCTGATCAGCTAATAGCAAAATAACAAAAATACATGTACTTTATGTGTATTATCTCATTTAGACTCCAGAACAAGCCAATGAGGTCAGTGGCTATTCCTTTCCCATCTTACACATCAGGAGATAGAGTACAGAGAGGTCAAGTGACTTGCGCAAGGTCAAACACTTAGTAAATGGTGGTTGCCAGCCGCTGAGGAAAGAGGAATGGGGAGTTATTGCTTAAAGGGTACAGAGTTTCAATTTGGGAAAACAAAAAAAAGTTCTAGAGACGGATGTTGGTGATGACCGCAAAACAAGGTGAAGTACTTAATGCCACACAACTATATACTTACAAATGGTTAAAATGGGAAATTTTACGTCATGTATGTTTTACTACAGTAAAAAGAAAGACAAAGAGAGACAAAGGAAGGGCATGGAAAGATGCAAGTTATTGCATCTTCTGCTACAGGCAGGTGAGAGGAAAATCTGTCTTCCCAGGCCAGGCAGGCCACAGCAGAGCAGGGGAGCCCAGGAGGGCTGAAGACCCAACTTGGCCTCTCCGCGTGCAACTCGGCCAGGTCGCATCGCCTTTCTGGGAAAACCGAGGAAGCTGGCTGATTCACAGATTTCCTCTAGCGTCTGCCTTCTGTGGTTCTGCCTTATTAGGAAGGCTTGGCTCATTCAGAGGATGAGGTAAAAGGAACAGAAAAGCCAGGCCTTCTACATACTGGGCATTTCTAAGTAACTTGACTTGCAGTTGTGCTTCAGAAGAATGTGCCTTACAGAAATGCTATCAGCGAGGGTCCCGGCATGAAACAGATGCCTCCCTCAAGCAGGGTCACCAGGGAAGTTTACTGGGGAGTACGCTCACAGAGGTATGGTCAGGGCTTGGGGAACCCAGAGGAGATGGTGCAGTATCCAGGGCTTGCAACAGCAGGACTCTTAACACCCTTAGTGGAAAAAAGTGGTTCCAGGAACCCTGAGGGAGAAGGTATGTGGAAGGCCACCTTTGGGAAGCACAACCCTGCAGGAAGAGAACTCAGGAAAATTATACCTAGACCTCTCTCTTCTTCTGCCCTCAGTCTCCTGCCAGGGCCTCCTATTGGCCAAGCCCAACAGGAAGCTGAGTACAGGGAGCCCATCCATGAAATCCATACAGGCCATTCTCTGGGGCCAGAGCAGGCTGGTAAAACCTGGCAAGGAAGTTGGAGGGGCAAGTGGGGGGGTGGATCCAAAGCGAATCAGCACCCAACTATCCGGGAACCTGGCCAGGGCTGCAAAGAAGCATCCTCCCCTGGATGACCCATACTGTCTTTCAAAGGCTGACCTTGGATCCAGGGTGGGAAGGAGCCCTGGGTTCTTTCGGGCCTAGAGGGGAGTGATGCAGTTTGTTGGAAAGAGCCCCCGCTTCCTAGTGTAACAGCATTGGCCAGTCTCCTATCCCTGCATTGATGTGTACATTCATTCAGACATTTGTTCAGCCACCACCTGAAAATGACTCCGAGCCAAGCCAGGGCGAGGAGGCACTCGAAGAAATGTGAAACAGCCGCACCCACCTTAGCTTGTGAAATATGCCTAGAGCCAGACAGTGATGGGTTCTTTCCACCAATTCTGTGAGTCTGGATGCTGCTCTCAGTCACCCCCTCTGTAGTATAGGCCAAACACCTCTTCCTCCCAGAGTTGTCTTGAGCATTCAAAACGAACATTTCAGAAAAGCAGAAGGCACTGCGCCTGGCATGGAGGAAGTGCTCCACATTTGGGAATCAATGGCCTCTCTTCCAAGCTTGCATCTGCCCCCACGCTTTTATCCACCACCTTATTACGCTACTATTATTGCAATTATATTGTACTTGCATTTGTTGCGATTTTTATCTCCCTCTCTCCCCATCTCTCAGAGTGTACACTTAGAAAAGGAGCTGCTGGCCTCTCGCTACTCCCTGAATCCCCAAGGCTTGGGTCTGGGTTTAAAACTGCCAACATCTTATACCGTGGCCAGACATTGCCAATGGCTTCACATGCATCTTCACATGGGGAGGACAGCCCTGGTTGGCAGGCGGTCGTATGAGGCCCATTTTACAGTTGAAGGAACTGAGCCCGGAAAGGTTAAGCAACTCGCCCAAGGCCACGGAATAGATAGCGGCAGAGCCCGAATTTGAACCCGGGAGCCCGGCCCACAGATCCGGCGCTGGGCCGTGGCTCCTGAGCTGAGCGAGTGCGGGAATGAATCGACCGGTCAGTCAGTGACTGGCCTGCGGATGCGCGCCCGTCCCCTCCCCCGGAGGCCGGGGGAGGGCGCCGGGACAAAGGCGCGGCGGAGGCCGGACGTGAGCCAGCCCGGTCCGCGCGCCGGGGGCGGGAACGGGGCCGGGCCCTTTAAGGGGGGCGGGGCGGCGGCGCGGGGGGCGGGGCGCGGAGACGGGCGCGGGCTGAGGGCGCGGGCCGACGGGCGCACCGACCATGGCCTCGGCGCGGAGACGGGCGCGGGCTGAGGGCGCGGGCCGACGGGCGCACCGACCATGGCCTCCAAGTGTCCCAAGTGCGACAAGACCGTGTACTTCG